TGTGTAGTGTTTATTGACAATCATGATCACTTTGGTAATCACTTTTAGCTGCCTCAGGTACGATGCTTTTTGTCATATGTGCAGAAGGCAAATATGAACACGTGTTGTGCAGAAGACTGAAGAGAGGTCTTTAGAAGCTTTTTTTTTCATTTTTTTATGAAAGATATATATGATTGCCTAATTAATTAATTAATTAATAGGTCCGTTGAAAATCGATGGCAAAATATTTTTATTAAAAATAGTATACTTTTTAGCACATGTTTGACCGTTCGTCTTATTCAAAAAATTTTGTGAAATATGTAAAACTATATGTATACATATAAGTATATTTAACAACGAATCAAATGATAGGAAAAGAATTAATAATTACTTAAATATTTTGAATAAGACTAACGGTCAAACATATTTAAAAAAAAGTCAAGGGCGTCAAATATTTAGAAACGGAGGGAGTATAAATTAGTTAATATAGATAATAAATTAATAATTAATGGTATAAAATATAGTTGTGTAACCTTTATTTTAAACCACGTGTTTTTTAAAATAATGGTTCTAAATAAAATTATATTATATTGTTAATATAATGGGTAAAATAATAGAATCCTAAAAATTTTATTTCCAAAGATTATGGATCTAATTTATTTACGTATATCTTGTGATATACATAATCTATGTTTATAAAGTTATAGTTCTTTAAAATTTAATATCACTAATTATAGTTACGATCTCATCTATACATGCATAGAGAAAAGAGGGGAGGAGATGGAAGCGGACGTAATTTTTAATGATATATGTAATATATATTTATTTGTTTTTAATCGTATGTTGCGTTACAGTTGTATATGTATTTTTTTTGGTTTTTTTTATGAGCAGTATGTAAGTACCTTTCTCTCGTCGATGCGCTGAGAGAGATTAGGTGTGAGGTTATTAATAGATTTAATCTAATGATCTGAGATACATCTCAGATCTACTAATTTAAATAAAAATCGATAACTAAATGTTTTACTTTTTTCCTCAGATTTTCTTGAATTTTTTTTCTAATCTATTAAAGTGCATTTTAGAACTTAAAATATTAAAAAATTATTATTTTAACAGTTAATATATTAAATTATTATTTTAACAGTTAATATAATAAATTATTATTTTAACAGTTAATATATTAAATTATTATTTTAACAGTTAATATATTAAATTATTAATTTGGTTTTCTATCTCATCTAACCAAGAAGAAGGGAAAAAAGGAAAAAAGAGAGTACGTATGTATGCACGTGCACGTATGTGGAACAGTGGAACCTTTTTTTTTGTACGTGCAAATCTTTCACAGGTAAATATAGTTAAAAAATCTGAAGATAGATATAGGTGTTAGCTAAAAGTTAGGAGTAGTTACCGAGAAAAGAGGAGTAGTTACCGAGAAAAGAGGAGAGAAAGAGAGGGGCCAGAGGGAGGGAGGTATAGCACGTACCTGTGCATGCCGCATATATGCACGATGGGGATGAGGGCTACCGGATTTTTGTTTCTTAAGAAGTCTAATGTTATGATATTATATATTTTATTAGAGTGCCACGTGGCAACTCGAGAGTGTTTATAGGATGACACATGGCGGTTTAGGAGCGTTTGTAGGGAGTTTAATGGACTTTTAGTATATAATAGAAGATAGATTCTTAGGCATTCGTTCTACTAGATTATGTCCTATCCAACTTCTAAGTTAGGATTTTTTTGAAACGGAGGGAGTACTCACTGGTGAAGAAACCTTTTTTACTCCCGATTGGTAACCCTCTTTAGTTATGGGTTTTCCAACCGGGAGCAGCAATCTAGAACTAAAGGTGCCCATCTTTAGTCCCGGTTCCATCTTTAATCCCGGTTGGTGACAACCGGGACTAAAGATCCCTATCGGCAAGCCTCCTTTCTTCTATTTTTTTTCTTTTTTATTTTCTCCCGAATCAAGTGGCATGCATATCCCCAAATTAAAACCCAAATCTCAAATCAAAGTAACATCCCAAATCCACATCACAAATCTTAAAGTTACTTATACACACAAATCAAATACATCACAAATCCTAAAAAAAAATTACACACAAATCAAATTACATCACAAGTTCTACAAAATTCATCGCAAATACATCACAAGTTCACATCACACACAAATCAAATACATCCCAGGATTATGCAATAAATCACAAATTCTAACAAAAAAAATCCACAGAGGCGCCGGCCGGCCACCGCCGCGCGGCCCTCTGCGGCACTGCCTGCCGCCCTCCGCCCGCCGCCGCGCTGGCCAGCCCGCTCTCGCTCTCGCTCGATCTCGCTCCGATCCAGCGCCGCTTGAAGGAAAAAGAAAGAGATAAGGCAGGATAGAGACAGAGAATTAGAGAGGAAAAAAGAGATAAAGAGAGAGAGTTTGTTGTGTGGACAGAAGAAGAGGATAAGTACTAGGGATTATATAGTACGTGTTGATTTTTATTCCCGGTTAGTAACACCAACCGGAACTAAAGATCAGGACTAAAGATCCTAGACGCTTGGCACGGTCTGACATGGAACCAACCGGGACTAAAAATCATCTTTAGTCTCGGTTGGTAACACCAACCGGGATTAAAGATTATCTTGGAATAAAGATCATCTAGTCCTGTTGCTCTTATAAACCGGGACTAAAACTCGTTTTTATTTGCGGTTTTTAATGGAACCGGGACTATTGTGGATTTGGGTCGACCGATCAAAGATGGTTTCTCCACCAGTGACCCTTTTACTCTTTTCGTGATATTAAAAAAAATTTAAAATAAAATATAACACATTCTAGTATTACGAATCTAAATAAATATCTATTAAATTTGTATTACTTAAATATATTACATCTTAGGTTTTTTTTTTACCGAGGAAGTACTGTACTAGTACAGTACAGTCTCTGGGAGTTCCGTACTTCACACGGGCAATCCCTAGAAACAAGGAGTACTATATCCAAAGACTTTGGATAATAAATAATCCGAATGCAGTAGCTCGTGGCCAGTTTATCAAAATTTCTCCCTGCCCTAAACTAGCCGCTAATGTGCTACTACTACCGTAAGCAGATATGATCAAACATTTAACAAATCCGGATCTAAAGCACAGTGATTAACAATTCTGCACCTTAACACTCACCCCAGATGGCAGTACTACTCGATAAAAAATGCATAATCTTCTCTGTAAATGCTGAGATTAGACCATTTGGCAACCGTTACATGAGAGGAAGAGGACGAGAAGAAAAAGTGATTTATAGGATGACATCTGAACTCTGGCATCAATATAGGAGGTGTCAATTACACAGTACATAGACTTTCATCGTTGACAGAAACTACAGAAAACACGCGCAATGCGAGCGTGTTCTTAATTGTATCGAGAATTCAGAAGCAATGTGCTACAGGTTGGTGACGTTGGTACATGAAAAAAGGACAATGATAATGCGTGAGAAGAGAACAGTCGAACAGCCCAACCAAAAAGGAGGCCCCTCCACTGCCCCACATGGTCCGCATTTGGTCCAAGAAATTGAAAACGACGACAAAAGATGACGATGACAACGACGAAGATAGGAGTAACACATTTTAGAGACAATAGGAGTAACACATTTTAGAGACAAACGAAACTTAGTGACGTAGCCGCAACGATGGAAAGTCACATGAATTGAAGAGCAAGATATGTCCCAAATAGTTATATTCGAGAATCATGTGAAGAACAAGATACCACGTCTCAAATAGCCATATTCTCGAACAGAAGGATCCATGGTGACAGCATGTCTTACTAATGATAGTTATTGGTCAATAAACGGAAGGTGCGAGCAACATGGAAATATGGAATAATTCGCCGGTAAAAACTAAAAAGTGGTGGCGAGTGGCAAAAAAGGCAAGGAGAGACGAAGACTTATCACAGAAAGTGCAAAGTTGAGCTGGAATATGAGCAGCTCAAGACGACATGGAAAGGGACCTGGATACATATTCAGAGAGTTGTTCACCTAAATGTTCAGAGGTCCAACAATACTACAATTCATTGGCCTTGTTTGGATCCTCCGGGCTATTAAATAGCCCTATAAAATTTTGCTATTTAGAAGTATTAAACGTAGATTACCGACAAAATCGATTCTATAACCCCTAGGCTATTTTGCGAGACGAATCTAATGATGTATATTAATCCATGATTAGCGGATGATTACTGTAGCATCAGTGTAGCAAATCATGGATTAATATACCTCGTTAGATTCGTCTTGCAAAATAGCCTAGGGGTTATGAAATGGATTTTGTCAGTAATCTACATTTAATACTTCTAAATAGCAAAATTCCGGAGGGCTATTAGGGCCATTATTTCAAGTCATCCGTTGAATGTAAAAAGCATTAGATAGAGCACAGACCAACAAATAGTACACTACAATAAGAAACCCTGTAGTTTGACATGACATAATCCTCACCTCTACAGTTTATGGATTACCCCACTAATCTTTTGAGATCCGTATCACTTTGAATTGTGCCTGACCTTTATGTACAATTTGTACTACTATTTTGAATTGTACCTGAGCTTTATTTCTTTAAACAGTCCATTTTACAGGAATGCAAAGCAAAACGCAATGACAGCACACTGCACACATCTATCTTGGAGCCTACGACAGCTGGCAGGGTCACAGAAATCGTACATGTAGTACCAACTACCAATTGCAGATTTCAAAAGTGAAATGAACTAATCCTTGCCATGTCATCATTCTAACATACTTAATTTTATAGCAAGGCATATTAGATGAGTACCGGTCATACTACTTTCCATGTGCCAATAGATTATACATGTACAAAGAAGATTCCAGAGCTCAGCTTCCAAGTCCTAGTTACGAGTTAACTATAATTCTAACAGCAGAACAAACAAACCAAGACAGGGACCAGAGAGCAGAACACAATTTAAGTAACCATGCTCTTATGTAGAAACGCCAACTTTTCCTAACAGTAGATTAAAAAAAAAAAGTTTCCTTTGGCAGATATTGACTGCGCACATCAAGAGATTCATGATATCTACCATAATCTTACTTTAAGGGAAAGTACAACAAGGGAGAAAAATAAAAGGGAGACGGTTACTTGGTTCGTTAAGTAGTCAAACTGTAACTTTCATCAGAAACAGATCTTGTGATGTTGAGAAAGCACAAAAATTCTAAATCATAAAAATTAACCGTGCAAGCAGTAGGTCAGATAAAACTACATGAAACAAGACAATAAAATACAACAAAGTGAAAGCACGAATAAACATAGGCAGTGAAAGTTGAACGGAACAGCAAATGCCCTCAGAAGAAACCCCACCTAGCACCCAGCAAACAGTTGACTGCTAGAACCTTTACATGCTGCAGAAGGAAAGGGAAGAAATTAGGTACTGAATACAAGCGGAAGGAAATTAATTCAACAAGTGTATTGTAAAACACTCAAATCAGTGTTAGGGCATTGCAGTTCCCAAATATTCTAATTTACCATATATGGAACAGATAATGGCATTGTGGGAATAATTTAGAATATGTCAGAGAGCTAGTCAGATGGAAGGAAAATTATCAATCGGATCTAACGAAATCAAGGTTTATCAAGAGTGCAAAGGCTTGACCACTGAGCTCCAAATATAACAGTGAACCACTGGGCTCTAAATATAACAGTGTCCAGGCTTCAGGCCCATCTGGGTTTCTCCTGTGTAGCCTTGGAGAATGGAATAATCATTTTGCCCAACACCACAGCCTTTGTCATCATGATAAATACGTGAAAGGAGGCTTCAGTTGTTAATCTGATTAATCCATTTAAATTGTAATTTGGTATATAGCCCTAGTCACATTACAACAAACTACAGAGATATTATGGTCTTTGGTCTTAACAGATTAACCTGTGTACTACATATACAGAAATGTACAGCACAAAATAGAACTTTAGATCCTTTGGATATATGAATTTCTCCGAACAAACATTTCACAGTTGAAACCATAAGACTGACCATACAAACTTAGTAGAAGAATTCATGATATGCTCACCTGGATCAAAGAGGACATCATCATACAGCATGATCAAGTATCTGCAGAAACATAACCAACTTAAGACATTAGCATGATTAGTAAATCAGAACCTTTGGCACGAATGGATGATACAGCAAATGAATGGCATAATTCAATCCATCATGAACATTGCTCATAAGTAAAGTTCAAGGCGAAAAACTCCAACTACAGTTTTCAGTCCCTTATAAACTCATATGCAACCAATACCTAAAATTAATCATAGACTTATGTTATCCATTTTGAAGCATGCAGATAACAAAACATCCAAAAGAATCCAAATCGTAATTATTTCCTATGCCAATCCATAGTTTTGAAAACCAACAAGAACCTGTAGACATGTTCAACTTGTGCCAAAAGCTATCTAGGAACATGCCTAATAGATATGCACGTGGTGTAAAAATATACTCCCCCATCCAAAAATATTAGGCATAACCACTTTTTTTTCAATGTTTCGTAATATAAGGCGTGCATGCATGCATACAATTAACTAGCACCTCCCTCCTCTTTAATTCGTTTTTTATATCCTCCACCCTCAAAAACTCTAATCCCGTTGGGTGCATGCATTGTATTTATTTGAGTGATCCAAACAAGGAGGTGATAATAATTCTTTCTTGGTCTTTGCGTTAGTGGTAGTTGCGCCTTATATTTTGAGATAGAGGGAGTACTTTGCACTGAAGGAACATATAAACGGTAACTAATCGTCACAGTATGAACAGTAGTATTTGTGCGGTCACCCACCTTGAGGTGATTATACTACCCAGGCGCACTTATGCGACATAACATGCAACTACCTGTTAACAGATTCGCCACCTGTTCCCTGTATACAGGCTTGTATGTGCCATGCATATCCTTTATTTACAAGATGGTACCACGCACGTTGCTGCAGGATGACTATGTATGGATAAGCGGCTTTGAAAAGATATGCAAGCTAAAGAAGGGATGAAAAAAAAACAAGTATAGGGCTTTAACTCTTGTTATGTGGCGGGGAGATCAATAGTCTTCCAACTAAAATTGAAGCTGCATGAATGTACCATAATTACGACGATGAAATGCATGTAAATATAGCTAAATTTAAATACTTTAGTTTCATATCAGCTAATATGTTTTAGCTCTCCAACAGATGATCCAACGGTCAGGATGTTTAGGATGATGTGGCTCAATGCATGTTGAGATTTTGGTTCCAACTATATAGGATATATATAGATAACACTGTTGTTGACTGATAACTGATTGGCCAAAAAACTAAATCACACGACAAGATCAAAATCGTATAGTTAAATCGCTTTTGCACATAAAGATGTCATGAACAATAGACTAGATCATGTAATTTTGAGAATAGAAAGGAAATGCAGTATGTTACAGCATATCCCTACACTTAAAAGCCACATCCCCACCATATTATTGCACCTCCCTGTGACTACATAGAGCAACTCCTAAAATGTCAAGGGGTTTTATGTATGTTGTGGAGTTGGGGTTGTGGGGAACTAAACCAAAACATAGGGCTCTGCAGTGAGTGTCAACATTGCTTCATTGTTGTACTACACAACCTTACATTATCTTACAACTCATTTTTCTCGTTATTTTTGCACGAATAACGATAATTTGCAGGTGTAGTTGATTGTTCGTTTGTTTTTTTATCCATACCCACTATTTGATTATTCAGATTACACTTTGTATAGCAAATCAAAGTAGGAAACAACACATATAGAGTCAGCAACACAAGTGCACACCAGACGGTAAATCAATTACCCTTGTGCTCTTCAGTGGCGTCATGGTACTCGGCATCCTCCTCTGGCACAGGGTGCAGCACTTCCTCGCCCACCGCCAACTCCGATGCGCCACCGGCCTCTCCGCCCTCCGCCACACCATCGTCGGGGAAACGCACCACCACCACGGGGCACACACAGTGGTGCACGCAGTAATCGCTGACGCTTCCAAGCCTCCCCTTGCTGGTCCGCCTGGAGGCGCCGAAGCCCTTGCTCCCCATGATGACCGCGCTGAGCCCAAGCCTCTCCACCTCGAGGCAGAGCCTCTCCTTCATGTCGTGATCCTTGACGATGTGGATCTTGTAGGGGATCCCGGCGTCCTTGAGCGGCTTGGCCAGGTCGTCGGCCTTGGACGCGGTGAAGGCGTCGAAGTCGTCCTCCATCTTGCGGGCCGCGGCCTCAGCGTCGTCCTCGGCCGACGGCGGGTCGCCGCTAGGGTTAGGGTTGGCGGCGGGGAGGGAGAGGTCGACGGAGCCCCAGTCGGCGCCGTAGAGCACGGAGGTGGGGCGGACGTGCAGCAGTATAACGGCGTCCCCGGGGCGGAGGTAGTTGGCGACGGCCCAGCGGACGGCGTACGCGGACTCGTCGGAGAGGTCAACGGCGATGGCGATGCGGCGGTGCGAGGACCCGACCGGGGCGGCCGCCGCGGCGGCCGTGAAGAACACCCCCGGGGACTCCGGCTGCAGCGACGCCGGCGTGGGGGGGCGCGGGGTCGGCGCCTTCACCGGCGGCGGCGCCGCCGCCAGCGGCAGGTCAACGGGGTGGCTCGGCGGGTTCTGCATCGCCGCCGATCGGGGATGGATTACTAGTTTACTACAGATTCCGCACGCGCTCGTGGGTGGAGAGCTCGGAGCTCGCTTTGCTTTGGTTTCCTTTGGTTTTTTGGTTTGGTTGGGTGGGGTTGCGGCGGAGAAGGAGGAGGAAGCTACTGGAAGAAGGGGGAATGGAAGACTTGGAAGTTGGGGAGACGCGGCGGAAGAAGAAGGGAAACGGACGGCGTCAAGTGGGAGTCGAAGAAGGGGATGAATAGATAAACACGGGGAGTGAGACGGCACGTCGGCGACACTTGGAAGATAAGAACGGCTTGGATCCAACTTTCGCCGCCGCACGGGCGCACGTCCGTCGGCCCGGCCGCTAGTATTCACTGTTCCAAGTTTCCAATCCCCTCGGAGATCCTTTCCAGTGCTCAATTTTCGGACTCCTTTTTACCTTTTTCTACACTTTCGTATAGAAACTTGATTTGTTTTAAATCATCTACCATCACACCTCCAATCGTATTACTTGTGATGATCCAACCGAGAAGATGATTAAATCATTTTTATTTTTATATTTGTAGTGGTTGTATTTTACTATATTTTAGAATGGAGAAAGTGCTAAGAATTTAGAAACTTTGACGGCCTATGAAATTTTCTTGGTCGTAGTGACAAAACTTGTAATGCCAATCTCTACAAAAGTTCCTGCGCTTTTTTGTCTGATAAAATTGTTATGGTAGTTCTGAATTGCTGATTAAAGCTGTGTTGTATTCGTAAGAGCAAGTTCCAACGCTCCCATCTCGTTTTCAACGTATACACTTTTCAAACTTCTAAACGGTGTGTTTTTATAAAAATTTTCTATACGAGAGTTGTTTAAAAAAATCATATTGATCCACTTTTGAAAAAAAAATAGCTAATACTTAATTAATCACGTGCTAATGGACTACTTCGTTTTCTGCGTGCACTGTGCAGGTTCCCATCCTCCCCTAGCGAACACAGCTTAAGTGCTCAACTAAGTCTAAAAAAAAGTGCTCAACTAATATAATCATATTTCTTTGCCCACCAGAATTCAAAATCTCACTACCATTGTGGCATTGTTATGCACAAGCTTACAAATTTATTATTGATCTCTGTTTTTCTTTTGGCGTGTGATAGAGGAGTGTGGTTGCATAATAGTACTTCATCAACTGTCCATTTCCATGACTCAACACCAACAAAAGATGGATTGATACCCAATCATGCAAAATTGAGGACCATCTCTGATAGATATCATGACGTGGGACGGTGGGAGTGCTGTTCTGCTAGAACAGTATACATCACGGGGGAATTTATTAGCTTATGTTGCCGCTCGTGGTTTCTACGCTCTCCATGAGCGATTGCAACTTGCAAGGCTGTTAAGATAAGGTTTAACGAACACATGAATGGTGGCAGGACCACTTCAGAGTTCATGTTTTTTTTTCCTTTTCTTTTTTTCGATGATTCAGAGAGTGAGTTCATCTTTCTCTTTGTGTCTCACTACAATCTTCACAAGTCAAAAGTTGTGCAAATGAAGGCCAATGACCAGGTGAGCTGCATCACTTCCGGTCCATATGGTACCTCCTTTATATGTATCCCCTCCATAATATAATGCACATTTTATTTCGTTAAAACTGGACTTCGATCAATAACTACACTATTATATACATAATTGATGCCACTAGATCATATTTAAAAGTACTTTTATGTAATTATACTTTTATATCATATATAATGATATATTAGTTAAACAATTGTTGGTCAAAATATTGTCGATTTCTATACATCATAAAAATGCAAAAAAAAACTCCTTATATTATTATGACGAGGGTGTATTTTTCTTATTTCAGGCTACAGACGATTTGAATTATGAAGAACATTCTGGTCTGCTAGTGTTGTAATTTTGTACTACAATTATAGATCCTAGTTTGTTGGCAAGCTTGCAATACAATAATAAGCAACGCTTGAGAGGATTATGTGAACAGATGACAGAAGGAAATAATGGATGTGTGCAAGACAGTGTCAATCAGGTAGGAATTTCAGAGTTTTTGTGTTTCTCATGCATGAAGGATAAGGATAAAATAATGCACCATGATATATTACATGACTGCAATTTTCCTGTTGGAGAATCCCGTTGGCATCTCCAAACTTGCATTGTTGATTTGATCATTCAATCATGTGAACATGGAGAACATGACCAGCCGTGCCTGTCTGTTTTGATGCAGATCTAGCTACCGTTCTACCCCTTCTACTGAAAAGTTTGACAGTGCTCACTTAAAATTGGACACCATTTGAGCTAGTGCCACAACTAGGTAACCAACGAGGCCTCAATTCTAAACACTCCTATGGGTAGCGGCCCCATGGGTTCGCTAATTATAAGCATAAGCGTAGGCATATTTACAAATAAAAAATAATTTACGAATACAATATATATATGTTCTTAACGATATAAAAGTAAAGGCTGAAAAAGAAACTACGATGAAAAATTCCAAAATCAACTCCAAATTTGAGGTTGAAAATTAAAATTTTAGCTGATAAGTATAAGCATAAGCGAAAAGATGATGCCGCTATTTTTTTTTTTTGCATGACCCCTTTTCTTTATAAACCAAACATTATTTTTCCACATAATTTATGTTTTTCTCAGGATGTATTTCCCCTATGTTTTGGTATCATACGAGTTTTGGCATTTTTTATATCTTAATTTGGGTATTTATGCGAACAAATCAAACATACTCCTTAGATCCTATTTGCTGAACAACAAAAGACACTGTCAAAATCTTACTCGTAGGTTCCAACGAGAACTCAGTAACACCTTCATGAACTACTCGTGTATAGCAATGAGCCCATACCACTGCAAATGTGCTATGGCCTAGCATAAACCAGAGTTTTTTTTTTAATCCAAACATTTTCCTTTTCCTTTTTTTCTGTTTTGCTTTACCGAATTTTGTGTTTTTTTAGTGCGCACAGCAACGTTTGCTCAGTTTTTTTTTTCATAGCAAGTAGAGACGATTGAAATCAACGTTTGCTATATTCCAAAATTACTTGTGACAAAAGCCCCTTTGAAACAGAGCAAAATTCTCAGAGAACTGTAGGATTCTCACAGGGATCCGCATTCCAAAATACTTTCAAGTTTCAACCGATTGCATCAATCAGAAACCCCGCTTAAGTCGCCAGCTTGACGGCAAAATGGCAGTGGCGCCACGAGACCATCCCAACCAGGACGGCGCGGCGGAGCCGGCGGCGAGCACGGCATGGACGGCGACGAACCCCGCCGCGACCGCCGCGCACGCGGCCACGAGCAGCGCGAAGAGCGCGCACGGCCTCTTGCTCCACCTCCCCATGATCCCGAGCGCGAACGGGTAGAGCAGCACCAGGACCCACACGTTGAACACCAGCCCCGCCGACGCGCCGGCGACCTGCGCCGGCGTCCACCCCCCGACGACCGCCTTCCCCGCCGCCGCGCCGATGGCAGTCACGTTCACCGCCATCACCACCACCGTCGGCGCCAGCAGCGGCGACCAGTGCACGTCGTACAGCTCCGCGAACCTCTCCCTCGCGCCGCCGGCCAGCTGCTTCGCCGTCAGCTTGAACCGCACGCCCTTCAGTCCGAGGAGCCTCTTGAGCACGATGTGCAGCACCGCCGCCAGGTACACCCCCGTGGCGCCGATCATGTAGAACTGCTCGTTGCGCCACCAGTCGAGCAGGGTGAGCCCCGCCCACTTGATCTCGACCAGGCCGATCACCTCGATCATGGCGATGACGGCGACGAGGTAGGCGACGTACGTCGAGAACGGCTTCTGGATGTGGAACTCGCCGTGGTGGGAGAGCCAGATCACCGGGAGGAGGTCGTAGACGACCATGAACAGCGCCGAGACCGGGTACGCCGTCATGTTGGCGTACGCGACGCGCTGCATGGGGCGCAGCCGGCAGCCGGCGAGGAGCGGGCAGTTGCGGGAGAAGAACATCTCGAGCGAGCCGCCCGACCACCGCAGGATCTGGTAGAGGCGCTCCGTGAGGTTGATCGGCGCCGTGCCGCGGAACGCGTCGGGCTCCATGGCGCAGTACATGGACCGCCACCCCTTCCGGTGCAGCCGGAAGCCGGTCACCACGTCCTCCGTCGCGATGTCGTACACCCACCCGACGCCGTCGCCCCATTCCGTCCCGTCCTCGTACGCGCACGTCATCACCTCCTCCACCTCCGCCATGGCCGCCGTCTCGTCGAGCGACGCCGCCGCCGGCGACGCGATGGACCGTTCTTGGCTCGCCGCCGCCGGTATCGTGTTGATGAACGGCATCGAGTTTCCATACCTGCCGGGGCAGCCCAGCGCCTTGGCGTCGTCGTCCTCCGGCCTCCACCGCGGCGGGTCGGCGCCGTAGAGCGCGACGCGGCGGAACATGCAGCCGGTGCCGACGTAGGACGGGCCCTGGACGCCGTTGAGGCCGAGCAGCGTGGCGTCGAAGAAGACGCGGTTGTGGTTGCAGTACCGGTCGGTCGGGTCGACGTCGTCGAAGCGCTGCGGGAACTGGACGAATGCGGTGTCGTCGCCGTGGCGGCAGTCGAGCATGAAGCACAGGGCGGCGCGGAACGCCTGGGAGTTGTTGATGTAGTGGTCGCCGTCGAAGTTGAAGATGAAGGGCGCGTTCGACAGCAGCGCGGATACGCGCAGCTGCGCGTTCATGGCGCCGGCCTTCTTCTGGTGGTCGTATCCCGGCCGCTTCTCCCGGGCGATGTAGACCAGTATCGGGAGGCGCACGTCGACGGCGCTGAAGTCCAGAGGGTGGCCGGAGCTCGCCGGCATGCCGAGCTGAGGCTCTTCACCCGGATGGCTCAACATTACCTATTCAATCACCATACATCATCAAACATTTCTTTTTGTCATGTCTTGTGTGAAATAAGCAAAATTTGCGCACCTACAAAATCAAAACTTTCACAAACATATTGAAACTGCAAATTGGTTGCATGCCATGAACAGAGCATTTGGGAAAAAAATTCTCTGGGGCAGAGCCCCAATCCTCAGCGCGTGAGGCACCATCCTAGATGGGTGCCACCTCTATTCTCACCAATCTTGAAGCACCAGAAACAAGTAAAGCAATTTGGATTTTTTTTGTTAGCGTATACCCTCCGTATTCCTCCGTATTCCAGTGGTGCCCTACGAACTTGTATCGTATTCTTTGCCCTAATCACGTCGTTAGCGTTCCTCGTTCCTCGGAGCCGTAATCCAGCTATTCGCCCTTCCGTTCCGGCCATCGCCGCGCGTGTAGTTCGCCGCCCTTCCGCCGTCGCCGTGGCTGTCGTCGTCGCCGTCGCCGTCAATGCAGATGAATCCCCACGGCGGCGCATTCGCCGGTGCTGCCACTTGCCCATCCGCCGGTGGTGACGATCCTCCGAGGCCCCTGATCAACCATGGATCAACAATGCATGGCGGCCCATTTACAAGACACGAAGCTTCAAAGAAAAATAAACTAGAAAGAAATAACGTGTTTGAGTATATCGAGTCACTACAAATTGCTTTCAGGAAGAAATAAAGGTTGCAATAGCTTACAAATTAGAAACAATAATTCATGTTATTGTTTTCTAATTTATATATGATAGTACAATATCTACTTAGGAATCACAGCTTCTTCAAAATCTAATCTACGGGAACTGGACAACAGCCCAGCAGCTCGTTCGGCTCCAAGCAAAAGACCACTGGACGGCGACGGCGACAGCGACGGCGACAGCCACGACGACGGCGGAAGGGCGGCGAACTACACGCGCGGCGATAGCCGGAACGGAAGGGCGAATAGCTGGATTACAGCTCCGAGGAACGAGGAACGCTAACGACGTGATTAGGGCAGAGAATACGATACAAGTTCGTAGGGCACCACTGGAATACGGAGGGTATACGCTAAGAAAAAAAAATCCAAATTACTTTACTTTTTTCTAGTGCTTCAAGATTGGTGAGAATACAGGTGGCACCCATCTAGGATGGTGTCTCTTCCGAGCATTTGCGATGGGGGCTTCCCTAAGTTAAATCACGGGGATGTGTCTTTTTGACGTGTGGATCCTATATACCAGAGACTTATGTTTCTCTAACTTTACGTTAGAGGTGAACATTTGTATCTAACTAATATATAAGAATTACTCCGTAAGTTAAGATGAGTTTAAAGTTTAAATTCATGTCAATAAAGTTAAAGTTTGAACTGAACAGGTTTTTTTTTTTTACCTTAACGATTCCGGCGTGCTGTCCTTTTTTGTGATTCTCTGCTGGCTCGGTCCATGTCCCTGGCCAAGGGGTCCCATCTGCCATCAGAGTGGCCTTCGCGCCTTTGGTGTTTGCATTGCCAACACTCGCTTCCGATCGTTGCGGAATGTCAGTGAACAGCGCATCGAGCCGCGCCTTGAACTCCTCGTACTCCCGGCGCACGAGCCTGCGGTCGCCGAAGAACTCCTCCGGCAGCGCCGGCCCGGCGTACGGCGCCGCCTTCGCCGCGAAGTAGCTCTCGGGCGCCCTCGGCTCGACGCGGTGCTTCCGGCAGAACGGGACCCACAGCGCGGCGAACCTCGCCGTCTCGATCAGCCCCTCGTAGTGGGCCAGCGACGCGCCGTCGTCGGAGAGGTAGGCGGCGTGCCGGTCGGCGGGGTAGTCGGTGGCGAGGATGGACAGGATGGAGTTCATGGTGTAGAGCATCGGCTCGTCGACGGGGTCGACGGTGTTGATGAACACGTCGATGCCGGGGAGGCCGCCGTCGTCGAAGCGCCGCCTGAGGAGGGAGAGGTCGGGGACGCGCTTGACGGGGTTGAGCTTGGAGGCCTGGTTGAGCAGCCAGGTGACGCCGAACCAGAAGTCGCCGGCGATCGAGATCCACCAGAGCCACATGGCGTCGGAGTCCCGGTGCTTCAGGCGCCATGCGAGGAAGAGGACGACGGCGATCAGCCTGACTAAGGTCAGTAACCTGTCACAAGTGAACGAGGGCATGGTTAGGATTAGCGTGTAAAAATCTTTACATAGATATTGGCTTATTTGTGGAATAAACCAATTTTCCCTATTTATTTGGGAAAATTTGTTTCATATCATCGCAAGTTTCTAAGTTTAGCTTTATACCATTGAAAGTTTTAGGTGCATTTTAATACCATTGAAAATTTCCACCGTTACTCTTTCTACCACTTCCGTTTACTTCCGTCTAGATTTTCTCGTTTCTGTTTAATTTTCCGTAGAGAAGGCCAAACAAAATGACTGTACTACCCTTCTTTCACATAGCAGTTTCCTGGGACGATCTTTTTTCTCGTTCTCTTTCCATAGGCCCATATGTGGAGGGAAACAGATTGATTTTGCTCGTTGTTTCAATCAGCCCGATCTTTGCGTACATTCAGATGGGAGAAAATCGTGGCTGGAGCGAGGTCGTTCCGTCGTTGTGGACCTTGTCGTCATGGTTATCGGTGGGGGAGAAGCTGAAATATCTTGTCGCCGGCGCGGCGGCACCGCCGAGCCCGTTTTAATCTGAGGGGATTGGATCATTGGAGAACCTGCTAATAGAATAGATAATGTTGCCGGTGACCCCGGCGCTGACAAAAGGAGCTCAGGAGGGGAGCTTCAGTCGAATCTCTCGTCGTCGCCGTTGAGATTAGATGGACAACGGAGAGGGCTCGCCGGCGGGAGCCGAATCACACCACGGCGAGCGGTGGCCGGGTTCAAGTTTGGTGGCGGGCGGCGGGACATACATGGCAGAGAGGACAAGCTCGGCAGCAAGGCGGAGATAGAGGGAAGAGCTCGGCAGGAAGGCAGAGCAGCTCGGCGGCAGGAGGGACATGGCGCTACTTCCGTGATGGCGGAGATCCAGGAAAGATGCAAGGCAACGAAAGAGCTGCCTGCTGCGGGCGGAGCTGGTTGCCTCTATAGGGTAAGGTGAAACCCCGCGCATTGCTGTCGGAATTTAGTATGATAAAAAAATAACGTGTAATATAGCTAGATAACATCAGATTAAGTAAATTAATGTGGTTTATGATAATTTATACTTAAATTGTAGAATGGTGATTCAACAGTAAAAAGTAATGTGGTATGACGTTATGGAAGAAGAAAAGTAGGGAGATAATTTGGACCATAGATTAATCATCTAAAGGCTAAAAACAATTGATGTGATACGACTTAATTAGAGGAAAAAATGAGAAAGATAATTTGGACCATAGATTAATCATTTAAGTACTAACTAAGTAAGGATGAACTATATAAGTATATAGGATATCATAAAACATAATAAAGATATACATTAAAATATTATGTGAATTATATTGGATGATAATATAACATGTTTATATTTGAAAAGCTCTTAAATTATAAAAATTATAAAGATATAGCATGTTTGCATGATATTTAAATGTGATGATTGTTAGTGGATGATGATGTGGCATCTTGTTAGTGGATGATGATGTGGTATTTTTGCATGTTAAGGTTATGGAGTTAGTGGGGGATAACTTTATAGTAAGATAGGATTTGTCATATTTCACGTGAGAGATTGAAATATGGACGGAAATGCTACAAGTAGTAACGGTAGAAACTTTGAATAGTATTAAAGTGCACCGTAAACTTTCGATGGTACAAAACTAAACTTGAAAACTTTCGATGGTATAGGACCAATTTTCCCTTTATTTATAAAAAAATAATAATTTGTGAATAGAACTTTTATATACATGTTCTTAACGATATAAAAGCAAAGGTGGAAAAATAAACTTCGATGAGGAAAATCTTAAAATTATCTCCACATTTAAAATTGAACATTTAAATTTTAGCTGATAGTTATAAGTTTAAGTGAAAATATGAGACCTTGCAAGAAAACTCATTTGATTCCTCGAGGGAAGTCCTCTGTCCCCTCAGCTCGAGATTAGAATCCATTCTCTTATCGAAGCATATGTACTCAAAATTTTGTAATCCTCGTCTACACTGATTTTTTCAACATATATATAATCCTGCGAAATTTAATTACTCTGGAGAAATCATGACCATCTTGAGTGTAAAAAAAAAAAACAGTGGATTCGGAATAACGAAAGAGGGTAAAAAGAACTTGGATGACTGTAGCCTACTGTTGGGCTAATAAAGTGCAAGTCGAGCTAATGGCCCACAAACTGCATGTCAGCCCACTGTTTAGATGTACTCATGTACCCCATGCGGGCCGACATCGAGAGGGGCCTTTTCACGTGGGCGTGCAGACTTTTGGACTTGTCTTTCCTCCAACGAACGTGAGACACCAGTGTTCAGGGGAGTACAGGAGAGCACAAACTAACGCTGGCACTTTGCAGTTACTTTGGCTCTACCACGCTTGGCTTGCTGCAACCCACTCAAGTTATTTTAACGCTGCTTTTTTTCCCACGTTTTATAATGTTTGGTTTAGTTGTTTTCTATTAATCACTTTGTAGAAAAGATAATTCTAGCTAGCACTAAGAGCTACCAGCACACAGCTGTTAGGTGATCTTGATAAGGCAAGAATTAATTTGACATGATTTTTGTAGAGATTTCACAGAACAACCTAATTTCTGCATGAACTGAAGGAAAAAAATCGGTGTTCCACAAGTGACAAGATTCAGGAAACTTGATACAACTATCCATCACATAGCAGTAGTGGGAAAATTTGACAGGACGATGCTAACACGGTAGCAACAACATACCCTCGAGTACGCGCACGACGGCAAGAAGGAAAGAAGAAGAAGAGAAGTTAGCTTAAGCTGACAGCTTGACACACACCTGTAGGGATGGAGGAGGACGCCGCTGACCTTGAACGTCCGGTACAGCAGCGGCGGCGCCGGCGGGCGGCCGCCGTCCTCGCCGCGGCAAATCTCTTCCTCCTCGTCGGCGGGCACCCAGTACTTGTCCTTACCGCCGCCGCCGCCGCCGCCAGCCGGCAGCAGAGGGTCCGCGAGGCCGGCGTCGTTATTGTTGTTTCGGCCGGTACGGCCAGCCGCCGCCGGCGAAAGCGCCATCGATCGTCGCCTGATATGATCCTCCTCCACAGTTATCCAGCAGCCACTAGCCCACTCAGTAGCTCTCGATTTATTAAAGAGCGAGAGAATCCGAGACCGAGTGTACGTGTGCGCGAGTGTGGGGGGAGTGTGCGACGTGTCCCCCATGCCACGTGATCCGGCGAGCCACGAGGAGCACACACCACCACACCGGAGTGGGCTAGCTGCTGCTGCCCTGCCCGACACAAGGTGGCGTCGAGATCCGCGCGCTCTAGCTTGCGGCCGCGCTAGCGTGCTGGTCTGCTGGAGTAGTACGAAGACCACGCAGAAAACGTGTGTCCCGCCTAGCTCACAGATCGCTCGCTTGCTCTCCGGCCTGCTCCCTCCGGAAAAAAAAAATCAACCTAGAAAAGATCTTCTAGAATAATAAATTTGGATAAATTTTTCTTGGAATGAAGAGAGTACTCCCGAGTCCGACGAACGGGCGTGTTCGGTTCTCATTCCAACCAAACCAAAAAATGCTTGTACCGTACCACTTCTGCATATTCTATATTTGGATTTCTGCGAACTGCGATCACAATGGAGTTTCCCATGTCAATTTGCGCCATTTGTTAATTCAGAATTATTATAACATTTTTTTTAAATGATCCACCCAAGATAGTGCGGAGATTCATATTGATATAGCAAAAAAAAAAGTTATAAGATTACAACCAAAGGATATCATAATCAGGAAATAAAAAGACCACCATCTTATCTAGGACCTCGAGTACACTGGTTTTGTGAGTTGAGGAACGTTGCGTTTTATAAAGATGTAACTCAAACTCAGGTCAAGGGATCTAGTGAACTTAATGTAATGCACGTGCGGGCTATACTGTATGGGCTGGAAAGGAAGTGTGGTGTACTTGCAGCCCGTCTTATATGGCCCATATCCAATAATTTTCTGTCTTCGCTTAATCGCTTCCCGCCTCCACAACGACGGCCACTGGCGTCTCAGTTAGAAATACCTTGGTAGTCTGCTACCACAAGCTACATCGTGCCATGGGTTTTAACTGCAGTTAATATTTCTCTAGTAAGGGCTTATTTGGTTCTCTACCCTACCAATTAATTGGTAGTACTAAAATCTAGGTAAATTTTGCCACTACCAAATTTTTTGGTAGGGCAAAATTAGCTAGTCTATGTTTGGTTTAATACCAATATAAAGCTAAAATTTAGTACGAGAGTGAAAAAGATTCTAAAATATAGCCAAATTGAGTGTGGGCACTACCAATTGTTTGGCTTCAATCCAAACTAACATGTTTACTATTAAAGTTACCAAAATTTTGGTAAGGTCAAGTTTTGGCTTCAATCCAAAACTGCCCTAAGATTTGGCAGGCTGATACTTACATGTTAGATGCAATGAACTTGCAGACCACAGTGGATTGATTCCAAATGCAAATACTAGAAACTCGTAAAGAAATTCTCACAATGAAATTCAGATAGCCCGAGAAGCAGGCACGCATTACTGGATTACCCTGACCTTCAGGGCTTCAGGCTCCAGGCATACCAATCTCGATCCCCCTGACGCGAGATTCTTATACTCAAATAGGTGAATAATGCAGTTAGCAGATGGACTAAGAAATCTTGATACAACGGTGCCTTGCTAGTCCATGATAGGATTTGACTACATGAGTTACCCACATGCATCATCTCACACATTGGACTCACATGCTGTAAAATGCTTGAAAATTTAACTGTAAGTGGAACATTAATTAGTACAGCTTCTCTGTTCTCAAAAGAAAACATTAGTACAACTTATTTTATTAGACAAATGGCTAATCTTTCATTTATTGAACGAATCTGTAGTTCTGTACATGTACTATGCTATGCACAGCATGTAAAGTAAAACCTGAGAATCAACAAAAAAAAAAAAAACTCAACAAGGGAAAAACAAATACCAGCTAACATTGGAGATACAAATTAATCCTAAAACCCCCAGCTTGTAGGGAAGTTGGCTCCACCTGACCGTCTAAAGTGGAGCCGAACGGATCCAGAACGCATTGCCTGGATGGCAATATCGGCCAATGCGATTATAACAAATGAAATCACAATCAAGACGAACAGGATATAGGGTCTCTTGCTCCATCTTCCCATGATACCCAGTGCAAATGGATATATCAGCAGCAGGATCCACACGTTGAATACCAGCCCGAGCGACGCATCTCCCATCTGCATCAGTGACCATCCTCCAAAGAGAGCCTTGCCTATTGCCGCGCCAATGGCACAGATATTCACTGCTATCACCACTATCGTCGGGAACAACAATGGTGCCCATTGAACATCATACAGTTCTGCAAACTTCTCGCTGGTGCTGCTTGCTACTTGTTTTGCTGTCAGCTTGAATGAGACACCCTTCAAACCAAAACACTTCAGCACTATGTGCAGGACTGCAAGCGGGTAAACAGCTGTTGCTCCAATAATGTAGAACTGTTCATTGCGGATCCAGTCCAGTAGTGTTAGCCCCGCCCACTTGATCTCAACCATACCGATCATTTCTGACATAAATATGACGATCACAAGGTACAATACATATGTAGGAAATGGCTTCTGTATGTAGAATATGCCGCGAAAGATCCATATGACAGGGAAGAGGAGATAGAACAAAAGGAAGACTGATGTAACTGGGTAGCCTGTCATGTTAATGTAAGCAATTCGTTGCATAAAGTTGAGTCGGCGGCCAGCAAGGAGTGGGCAGTTATGTGAGAAGAACATCTCAAGGGAGCCACCTGACCAGCGCAGAATCTGGTAGAGGCGCTCAGTGAGGTTGATTGGTGCAGTGCCGCGGAATGCATCAGGCTCCATGCGGCAGTACATTGAGCGCCACCCTGTCCGATGCAATCGGAAACCAGTCACCACATCCTCGGTTGCAATATTGTAAACCCAACCAACATCCTTGCCCCAGTCAGTCCCATCCTCATATGCACATGCCATGGCATCACTCAACTCCTGCAGGATAGACTCTTCAAGGGCAGGTGGTGATATGATTGAGCGTTCTTGGTTTGCTGCTATAGGTATTGAGCTGATGAAGGAGTCCAAGTTGCCGAACTTTTTGGAGCTATCCACAATATTGCCATCATCGGGTCTCCAACGAGGTGGGTCAACACCATACAGTGCGACTCGGCGGAACATGCAACCGGTGCCAACATAAGAGGGGCCCTGGATACCATTGAGGCCGAGCAAAGTAGCATCAAAGAAGACTCGGTTGTGATTGCAATACCTATCAGTTGGGTCAACGTCATCAAAACGTTGGGGGAATTGGACAAAGGCAGTGTTGTCACCTTCACGTCGATCGAGCATGAAACATATACCAGCACGGAAGGCCTTCGAGTTGTTGACATAGTGGTCACCATCAAAGTTGATGATGAATGGTGCATTGGTGAGGAGGGCAGATACTCGCAGCTGCACGTTCATGGCACCTGCCTTCTTTTGGTGGTCATAGCCTGGGCGCTTCTCGCGGGCTATGTATACAAGCATAGGAAGGCGCACATCAACATTGCTGAAGTCCACAGGGCTGTCAGTGCTTGCTGGTAGACCAAGTTGAGGTTGATTGCTCGGATGGTTCAACATAACCTATTGAACAACCATGGTAGTTGAAAAATATATCATTGCACTCTAACTTATTAGGTAACTCTAACTCATATACTACTCTAGTCAATATATGTTGGAATTACTGAAAGCTAATTAAGAAAAAGGTAATAGTATAAGCAAGTGAAAATACCTGAACAATTCCAGCGTGATTTCCTTTCTTATGGTTCTCAGATGGATCAATCCATGTACCAGGCCACTCTGTCCCATCTGCCATCCAGGTTGCCTTCACACCTTCTTCGGCATGTGCCTGGTTGTATGCATCTGACCGTTTGGGAATGACAGTAAAAAGCGCATCTAAGCGTACCTTGAACTCATCATACTCCCTACGCATGTATCTGTGGTCACTGAGAAAATCCTCTGGTGCACTTCCAGCGTATGGACGTGACTTCACTGCAAAATAGCTCTCAGGGGCCCTAGGCTCAATGGAATGTTTTCGGCAAAAGGGAACCCATAACGCAGCAAACTTTGCAGTCTCAAGTAAACCATCATAATGGATGATCGATCCACCATCATCCGAAAGATAGCAAGCATGCTTGTCAACTGGGTAGTCTGCTGCAAGAATGGATAAAATGGCGTTCATAGTGTATATCATAGGCTCATTTATGGGATCGACGGTGTTGATGAATACATCAAGGCCAGGGAGGTTGGAGTTTCCATCAGGAAGATCAAACTGTTGTTGTAAGAGGTTAAGATCGGGAACACGCCTGATCGGTTTCAGCTTTGCCACTTGGTTTAGCAGCCAACTAACACCAAACCAAAAATCTCCAATCACAGATATCCACCAGAAAAACATGCCATCGGCGTACGGGTGCCTGATACGCCATATGAAAAATAGGACGATAGCAACCAATCTGACCAATGTCAATAACCTGTTGCAAAGAAATGGAAAAAAAATGGTTAGAATACTCAAAATCTGCAAAGTTGGCACAAGAGAATAAAAGCCTTGAACATTAGCATTGTATTTTTTAGATGAAACTAATACACCGTGTCCATGCCTAATACACTTCGAATTTAGTAACTGAAAACATCGCATATTTAATTTTAAACCTGTCAATTCAAATGCACATGCATTTCAACTACCAGCCACAACCAACAATTCATAGCATTGCACGTTCAAAAGAAAAAATGAGTCCACTAGTCAAACCTATCTCGGATGCAGTGAGAAGACGACAGGGCTAAGAGCTTGCTGGGACCTCAGCTAATACCATTCGGCTTCGACGCCGTGGGTTGGACCCTTCGGCGAGCTGCGCGGGCACACGGTACAGGGGTCGTAGGACAGCGAAGCACGGGAGGCCGGAAGGGCATAGCCGCCAACTAGACTGCACGGCGGCAAGGGCTGGGATCTGGGAGCGAAAAGGTGGAGGAGTGGAGACACGCGCGGCCCCTACGTAGAGTTACGCCGCTCGTCACCGGCGCTAGCGCAGCCGTCGGAGTCGCCGCCATCGGCGAGTCATGTGCGGTGTGCCACAGTGTTGGGAAGGGGAGGGGAGGAGAGTGGAGCTGGGTCCCACTTGCCTCCTCGGGCACTGACATGTGGGACCGTCCTTACCGGGAATAGTGCATTAGGTTTTAGGCCCATGGGCCGTCGACCCAAGAGGGTATTTTGGTCCAACATTTTTCACGTGGCAGAGGCTGCTGTTGGGCTCAATGATTTGGAGTTTGGACGCTGGTTAGTGTGGCCCATGAGATTCCCATTGTAACTAACGGACGCATATCACAAAACTGAACATATAGCTGGAAACCGAGAAACCGAAGCTAATTTCAACCGGCTGAAAACGCCTGTTCACACAGTCTCTGTAATGATGAAAATCCTACACCATCACATTTCGTTCATTTTCAAACCGAACACTTTTGCACCTACTAGTAATATTTTTTGATTAGTTTCAATTATTATTTTTCTATATGTAAGGAAACAAATAAAAACAAAAAAGCCACAAGACTAAGGTCCTTTTTATATCCCTAGTAATTTTTTCATCATGTCATATTCAATATTTGGACATATGCATGCAGTATTAAATATAGACAAATATAAAAACTAATTACACATATTGCGTGTAAATTGCGAGACGAATCTTTTAAGCCTAATTGCTCCATGATTTGACAATGTAGTGCTACAATAAACATTTGCTAATGATGAATTAATTAGACTTAATAAATTTGTCTCGTAGTTTACATATAATATAGATTATATAATTTGTTTAGTTATTAGACTACGTTTAATTTTTCAAATATGTGTCCATATATTCGATGTGACACGGGCAAAAAAAATTTTTTTACCCCATATCTAAACACAGCCTGACTGACTGAGGCGTTCACTTGTTCGCTCACTTGCTGGATGACGCAGCCACTAAAGACGGAACCACTACTAGTTTGCGACTCTTTCTCCAATACATAAGTATACTTCTATCTTTTTCTATATCCTCATTTCAGTAGATAATAAATTACTTTTAATCTCAATTATTTTATATATTGTGTATTAGAAAATTATAATATAAATATTAAAACTTGCAATGTATGTAATTATAGTGTAAGTCTTAAAAAAATTATAGTGATTTTAGTTTGTAGTGTAAAACGGTCTAATTTCTTTTATAAAAAAATATGGTATCATAAATAAATATATAGCTACTCCCTACTAATAATATATTAGCGAGTGATCCCATAGAAATTTAGCAGTGAGCTAGTAATTCAACATGGAAGTTGAAAACTTGGAAGAAGATCGATTATGCCACTTGAATGATGATGAGGAAAGATCAGATACGATCCTCAAGTGCGGCTTGCACTATCGCAAATTCGCACCTGTAGGGGTGGAGGAGGATGCCCCTGACCGTGAACGTCCGGAACAGCAGCGGCCGCCGGCCGTCCTCGCCGCCGTCGGCGACCGCCGCCGCCATCTCCTTCTCGTCGGTGGGCACCCAGTACCTGTCCATCGGGCTGACCTTCGCCCTCCTCGTCGTCGCGCCCTTACTGCCGCCTCCTCCGCCGCCGCCGCCATTCGCCGCCGCGCCGTTCACGGCGCCGCCACCGCCACCATTGCTGCAGCCACCGGCGCCGCCGCCGCCGCCGTTGGCCGCCATTGATTTCGCACGCGCGTCGCGCGCACGATGGTAGAGTAGTGGGAGTGGATGGCGGAGTGGGAGTGAGCTAGTGAGGCAGTGTGCGCTGGGTATATGTACAACTGGGTCACTGGCCGTGCCTGGTGCGCGCGGGCGCGGCGGTTAGAAGTGATCAAACTTGGCGAGTGTCGGCGGCGAGTCACGAGGGCGCAAAACGCAATCGGCTCGGCATATACGTCACGTAGTACGGGTGGACCGGCTCACCACCTGCTGGTGTACCTGTATAAAATGTATAAAATATATGTGTGCATATATTCTCTCTGTATTTTTAACACACGATATCGTCGATTTTCAGACACATATTTAACCATTTGTTTTTTTTAAAAAATACAAATGAATAAGATATATAAATAATATTTAATACATTTTTAAGTAATAAAATAACTAACAACAAAACTAATAATAATTCCGTAACTTTTTTAACAAGATAAATGATGAAATGTGTGTTATAAAAGTTAATGACATACATATATTGGCATATCATAAGATGAATACGATCGAATGATCGATCGATCGATGAAATTATATGAATATTGCGGTCTTCGAAGCAAACAAGCTGGATTAATAAAATTATTGCCTTGCGTCGCATCAACGAATAGAGTGTAAATGTTGTATGCATGGTGTTAATTAACTGTATGCGCATCATTTCGTCGGTTATACATTAGTGATGCATGCTGCATGCATGCCTGCGATTGGAGCTATTGTCCCTCACTGGCTTGATGAAATCTTCAACTCCATCTGTATATATTATTCAAAATCGCCCATAGTTACTACAGTAGTATATTAAGTTGCGCATTGCGTAACTATAAACTCCCTCTCTATTAAATACGTCTATAGATTGTGGTAGCAATAATAAGCTTGAATTTGTAATGATGATTAATCATAACATCTTTAATGGGTGCATACCTGATAGTTACATCAGCATATCACACACACATATATATATATATATATATATATGCTCAACACTAATATATATAACTTTGAATGATATAAGCTTAGTCGGATCATATTAATCTTTATTAAAACATGAGGTTTATTTGTAAACCGTGTGATTTGTAAAATTATATGCACAATATTTGTTGGATCTTTCTAAATATAGGCCAGTGATCTATTTGTAATTTTTTTTTCTCAAAGGAAAGTTGCATAGATAGAGTAAGAGGGTATATTTGCAAAATATTTTTTTTAATGAAAAGTGTACATTGTAAAGTTATATCCATAACCTTACTATTTTTCTTAGTAGGTTAAGGAAGCTTCTAGACAAAGTGAATCTAATGAATCAGATTTCTTCTTGCTATTTTGTCTTCATGTGGATCCAGTGTCTATTATTTTTGTTGATTATGTGGCTCATTCTAGTTGATTCTTGGGATTCACCATTCACTTATATAGATACGGTGTACAGTGCTATACAGTAATATATTATATTATAATCAATGGATGCTTGTATATATACAACATACACATTACTCATTACATGGATCTAACTTGCTAACGGCTAAATTTCTGACAGGGGAAAACGTGATTCTTAAACGACGGATCTATATCGAATTTCAAAATAATTAATCTCACTACGAAATGGATACTTTTGGAGATAAATTAAAAAAAAGTAAATTTTAGAAAACTGCAACTATAATGACAAAACTATCAGTTTGCTGCAATATTAGTGATCTATTTCAGTTTGCTGCAACAATAGCGTGGGAAATTAATACAAAACTGTAACTTTTATGTGATATGCTGCTATAGTTGTCATCTACATATCCTGTAGCAGCATATTATGTAAAAGTTATAGTTTTGTGATAATTTCCCACGCTATTGTTGCAGCAAACTGAAATAGATCACTAATGTTGCATCAAACTGATAGTTTTGTTACTAATGTTGCATCAAACTGATAGTTTTGTTATTATAGTTTCAGTTTTCTGAAATTTACTCTTAAAAATGCCGTAGGTGGTTATCCGTATGAGAAAAGTTTTGGGGAGTTGGTTTTGGATTTAATTGGCTAGGTACCTTGGACTTTTTTCGGCTATGATCATTTGGCTACGACTATTAAACCATAATAAAAAAAATAAATGAAACAAAAAAAAGATTATTGATAATATTTTTGTAACGGTGTTGTTGGCAGTTTAAAAACTAATGCTGAAAAGTATCCTAGACAAAAACCAAAATCAACATAAATTAGGTTTCAAATTTTAAATTTTGGCTACGGGGCTTACGCGGATAAACTAACAAGCAAACGATTATTGTAGACCATGTCTTTTTGGATAATAAAAATGGTAGCTCGATCTTGGTCTCTATTAATTCCAACTAGAGATATATACTATCTTCAATCATAGATAAGTGACATTTTGGACAACATGTTCATCAAAACACTGGTTTGATTATTAGTTAATTAATACTAGAAAACCTCTACAAATTAGCCAATTAAAATATGTTAATAAGAATGGTAATTAGTTTCCTCGATGTCTCATTCTTATGCTCATGGTGCTACTGGTGACTGACCATCGCGACACAACAACCTCCTAGCTAGAGCACTCTGCAGGCGCCCTCAGCTTAGATAGTGACCGGCTACACTACCTACCGTGGCAAGGATTTTAAAGCTTGGGGATGGGATATGATCTCGGGTTGATTTGAAACTGGCTACCACCTACAATCCATGATCTCTTGAGTTGAAAATTTCAAAATTAAAGTTGAAAACTATTGACCACTACTTGAGCTCAACTCTTCGAAGTGGGATGGAAGGTAGTGGTGCTAGTTCAAAAATTAAAAAGATAATGGTGTGCTACTATACTATATATCTTGATAAAAGGTGAGGGGTTTTTCCATAAAAAAAGTGAGGGGTTTGGCCATTGGTGGAAGAAATGTATACGACAAGCCCCTGCTGCCTTGCATTATTCTTGCCCTTCTGCGATGGACTGAATCGTTTCTCGTTTTCTATTAGCATGTTTTTTAAACTGTTAAATGGTATTTTTTTTTAAAAGTTTCTATATAGAAGTTGTTTAAAAAAGCAAATAAATTCATTTTTTAAATTTATAGTATTTAATATTTAATTAATCATGTACTAATGAGGTTCTTTTGTTTTGCGTAAAAAAAATCCAACTCTCAAACGGGAGATCGAACGGGGCTGGATAATCCAACTCCCTCCATATTACTATACAAAATTAAGTTGGTTTTTTGCAGACTAAGAAATTCTTCTATACTATATTTCTGTTTTTCAAATACTCCATGAGTCTATATAATATATAAAGCAATAGAACGTGAAGGTAATATAATGATATAGTAGTACAATACAGCTTGATATATTATCCAGCCCAGCCATCATGTTCTGAATTCCTTGGTTCGCGCCCATAGGGCCAGGTAGACAAGGGAGAATGGTCTGAGTTGCAGCTTGGAGGCAGGGAACCATTGCATGTCAGGTGCAGGGAGAATCACATGACGAAAAATGAATAATTATAATCTTATCCAACTCAATTAATCATTTCATATGTCGTCGAGATCTAACCAGATGTTAATTCATTTCGCCCAGATGAAACACAAGGTAGCCAACCAGATGCCAGCTGAATGCTGAACACTTAAAAAATAGTACTCCCTCCGTTTCGAAATGTTTGACGCCGTTGACTTTTTAGCACATGTTTGACCATTCGTCTTATTCAAAAAATTTAAATAATTATTAATTCTTTTTCTATCATTTGATTCATTGTTAAATATATTTTTATGTAGCCATATAATTTTACATATTTCACAAAAGTTTTTGAATAAGACGAACGATTAAACATGTGCTAAAAAGTCAATGGTGTCAAACATTTCGAAACGGAGGGAGTAATCATTAAACGCGCACCACGTACGAATTATTATTTTTGTCTCGTTGCCCACGATATTGACATGGCAGCGCCCCAGGGTCGATCTCTCCACTGCAACAGTGGAGTTTG